GGCGGGCTCCGCGTCGGGCTGCGCGCCGCGCTCCCCGGGCCGTCGGCGCGGTAGAGGAACAGCAGCCCTCGCAGCGAGCTGGGGTGGCTGCCCAGGCTCTCGAGTGCCCGCAGTGGTGTTTCAGCAGGTTTCCTGGGTGGATTCCCCTGGTGTTTCGGGAGGGAGGCTGGGCGCAGGCTGTCCCGAGCTGCGTGCGGACAGGCGGGAGCCGCTCCGCGCACCGGAGTCCGCAGCAGGGCAGCGGCATGGGCTGGGGGCGCGGACTTGGGGAGAGGCCTTCCCAAAGCCCTGCGCGACAAGGAGCAATTCCCAAAGGGGCAACAGATCCTTTGAGCTGCTGCGGGAGGCGGTTGGGTAGCAGCCACTGGCTGCAGGTGGTGGGGAGTTCTTACACCGCATGGTATAAGAATTGGAATGCACTTAACTAATCTCATAGCCCCTGGCTGCCCATCAGTCCTCAGACCCTTTCACAAACTCCTTTAAATTCGGCTTGTGGAAGGTTTCGGCATGTTCAGGTGCTGGCAGAGGAAGTGAGAGGTGAGAGCAAGTGGTGGTGGAGGGCCGTGCAGGACCTACACTGTTCAGTATCCGTGGGTTGGGGATTCAGAACTCTTCATCTTACCATGGTGCACCTGTTTTCCTATTTAAATCAAGTCCACAGATGACGGATCATGACGAGGAGATAGGCAGTAGTGAGGCCCTTTCCACATATCCTCCTTGGTTGCACTGAAGGACTTTTCTTCCTGATAGTTGTCTCTCTGGTGTGATGTTAGACATCTTCCCCAGGCACTTTATTTTGTGTTTTATTTTCATAAATCTCTGTTTCTGCAATAGAAACACATTACTACTTCTGTCTGCAGCAGACTAGCCAGTGAGCTTATTCCTATTATTTTACATATTTAAGTACCTTATGGTCCTAATTCTATTGATATTTCTTTTCCTCTGCTCACTTTGCCCACCCTTAGACTCTGATTATTCTCTTGCTCTTTTATGAACCACCTGGGAAAAATGTTGCATCTTTCCTGTAGCTGGAAATCCTGGAGGAGATTTGGTCTTTTGTCTGAGGCTCTTTCAATCTCCAGCGGGACAGGAGGATTGCTGAGCATGCATCCACTTGCTTGCCCTCTGGGAGCTGCTCTGAGCTTCTCCACACAGTGCTGTGGACCTGCGGGACACCAGTAACTGTGTTTGCTAATACTCTTCTCAATGCAGGGGCCTCCCTGCCTGCTGCTTCATAACCATTTTGGCAGTCTGCGAAACACGTTGTGGAGCAGCTCAACAAAGTACATTTAGTAGGTGTTGCTACTACAGTGGCTCTTGGTTTTTTGCATTTTCATTGTCTTTGGTTTGGGTTTTTTTTGGTGTTTTTTTTTTTTTTTTTTTTTTTTTTTTTTTTTTTTTTTTTTTTTTTTTTGTTTTGGTTTTTGTTTTTTTTTTTTTTTTTTTTGGTGTGGCTCCTGGGGAAGAAACTTAAATTACCAAGAGGATGAAACTGTTGTGATGCTTAGTGAATGGCACGGCTTTAGCGTGACCAACCTTTGAGACATTCTTAAAGCCTCCATCCCTATCCTGTGTGGTAATCCCTGATAGTAATGTGTTTCACTATCTGGTAATCCCTGATAGTAATGTGTTTCACTGACACTTTGGAGTCTGTAAATAAACTGAACTCCTTAGTGTTGTTGAAGATGAAGTAAAAGCCCTAAGGTGGATGTAGTCATAGAGCCAGAAGTCTCAGGGGAGATATATTCTGCTGGCTCAAGTACTGTTTCTGATACAAGACTTACCTGTGCTAAATAGGACATATTGCTGGAGTTACACCAGCAAACACAGCGTGGATAACCTTTTCAAAGGCTATGATAATAAGCAGCATAAACCACGTTTCATTATCATGCAGTGTCACATTTTTATAATGAAAAATGGTCTTTGCTTTTTTTACTTGATTTATTCCAGCCTTGATGAGGGCATGTTTGTATAATGTGATTAATACACAAGAAAAACAAATGGGATAGAAATTCTTCATTCTGTCTCATCCAAGCCTCCTCAGGCATTTTGTGGGTACTGTTAATCAAGCTGGAAAATCAAGAAGGAATTTGGCCTCTCCTTCAATGTTTTCCTGAAGATGAAGTTAACCCTATGTCTAGGAGAGATTAAGTGCTTGAGGAAAGCTGAAACTTTTACAAGAGTCATACAAAACAACTCTGATGTTAGGTCCCTGATTTTTTCCTAAATTATAGTAGTTTGATGTGCTTGTTGTCCTGTAGCATGAGGATTCTTTTTTGTTGTGAGTATTTTTGCCTTGTTGATGTCTTATGCATGTCTCTGTCTGTGGATCTGCTTTCCTAGAGCTGACTGAGAACTTTGGTATTGCCTTTCTGAGCTATTTAAGTGCAGTTGTCGTTTGTGTGTAATTGCCATTTGTCTGTAGTGGATATCAAAATTTTATTGTGAGTTAACATGACAATTAATTTTCACTCAAAAAAATTTCCCTGGTGTGAAGTAGATGATGAGTGATTGGTACTTTTTTGAGTCAAACCTTGCTAAACGCCTAGTTGATGGTGCCTGTCAGAATGAATGCATCCGGGTTTTGCAGCCCAGATTCCTCTTGTTTCAGGATATAGTGGCAAGCTGCCAGACTGAAGTGTACTTCGGTTATGATGATTTTGCATTTGCAAAATTATTTAAAATTATCTTAATGGACATTACTGTGTGACTTGCATCCTTGCCACGTAGACCCTGGAAATTCCTTTCTTTGAAGGAATTTGGCCATTTATAAACTTTAATTTCTGCAGTTGTTTTTTACTGGGCAGTGTACAACCATGCTTTGAAGACAATTATGATATATAGATTTCTGAGCTGTAATAAACTTGCTAAATGTTTCTTCTTTTGCTTGTATCTCACTGATAGACCTATTTTTAGAATGCAGTGAGAATACAGTTTGGCTTGGGCTTTCACAATGCTTTTGATTACATAAAAACTTTGCTTAAATTGACAGGAAACAGGATTTTATATTTGGGTTTTCTTCACTAGTGATTCTCAAGAGAATAAAGTTGAGATCATGGTTAAAGAAAGCAGCTGTTGTGGAAAATCTTTATTACAATGAATATGTTTTTTCCAGAGTTAAATAAATGTAATTTGGATCGTTAACATTCATTTGGAGTGGATGGTATCTTGTAGCTGGGTTGTTGAAGTAGATGAATTTTCCAGTTAGAACTGGTAGCTATTCAAGCTTATGAAGCTCTTTTTGTAGGTCCATTAAATCTTGGGAGATGTCCTTAATAGTGTTCTGCCTTTGGAAATAATATCAGATAGTAAATAAAATATGTGCCACAAGTTAGAATACCAACTTTTCATTTTCTACCCATAATACTAAATCTGATGGAGTTTTTTTAAAAGAAAAAAAAAAAGGGGGGAAACAGTCCTGCTATATTTTTAAGGTTGGCCTTGGCTCATCTTTTGACTTCTGTGACTCATAACTTCTGAGGTAAGGAGGGAGATGCCTGTGCGCTCCGGGACTGCGACTGCCTGCTTCTCTGGTGCTGCCTGTTTGCACCTGCAGATTGAGAAGGGGGCTTGCAGTCCTGTCCCCCATGGTCTCCTCTTTTCATTGTAGGGTGAAAAGTGTGTTTCCGTCACTCTTATCCGGATTTGTGTCCTCTGAGGTCACAGGAGCACTGTGTATGTGTAGTGCGATGCACCGCAGTGCTGAGGGATGGTGCCGTTGGTGTTCCTGGCTTCACTGCGCACGGTGCTCCCAAACATACCACCCCTTGTTCTGCAGGTGACCTTCCTAGGTGACAGGGGTTTGTTTAGTGTGTTTGGCCTGAGCATTTAGCTGCAGGTATTTCCACACTTTTGCCATTGCTGTTATTAATTGTGATAGAAGGTGAAACTAGCTGTCTGAGATGAGATGTAGGCTATTGTAGTGTACTCCAGTATGTTAGGATAAAAGGCCTGGTGAAGAACTATTTTCCCTGTTTGCAGAAACATGGAGTTGTTGCTTTGAATAAATGGTTTCCTGAATAATTGAATTAGCAAAGCCTGATTTCCTGCAGCTTTGTCCATTGAGGCTGGTCTCTCATGCTGATTCCCTTTCAAATAAATATGAAGTTGCATTGCAACCTCTTCTTTGCTTAGGGTTGAGATAATTTTTTCCTCCACTAAAACTTTTGTCTATTTTCAAGGAAACGTTAAAAACTGATCTTGGAGGTTTCATCTGCCTGCCATAGCAGGATAAAATTTACTACTGCACTCAAAAGTGATCAAAATGGGAAGAAAAAGTGACCAAAAAATGGGGAGATCCTGTAAGTGTTGTATCATTTGACATTACATTTCTAGGTTAGAATCCTTTTCCTGTCACTGCATAAGAGGGAGAAGATAGGTCTTTCTCATTTCTGCCTGATTTCCAATTGCTTCCTATTTTCTTAGACTTTTTCTCTTGCATCCCATGAGTTGGTTTTATTGTGAGCTTAAAGAAATGCCTTAAATACCCATAGCTCTAGAGCTGTGGAGTTAAGGCGGTATAAGAGCAGGGCCTTCACTTTTAAGGGCAAGGGGGTATTTTTCTGCCAAAG